TTTTGTAAGGTCTAGGGTAGAAGATTGTAGCGTGCGGAAGGATGGAAAAAATTAGGGGATCAAAAAATAATTCCTTAAACATCGGTTAAAAGAAATTAAAATTGAAATAATTCAAAGATCGAATTTTTTAAAATTGAAAGTCGAAACTACATTGCATATCCGTCAAATCGTCATTAATTGAGGGATTGAAACTTGAAAGTGCAATTTCCCCTTTTACCCAAAAATATAAAATTATGTAATTCTTACCTTTGAGCTTCTACTTTTTAAATTTAATTACAAATTTGCATATATTAAGGAACAATTTCATCTGTATATCAAAGTTTTTCACTTTATTTTTTGAAAAATTTTGTTATTTTATTTTTCATATAATATTTATTTTGAATATTAGATCCGTTTATTTCAGTTTTGTATACTACTCAGCTCTAACAAAAAATTAATTTTTTCAATCATTTCATTAAACAATTTGACCGTAATTCTTTCTACCGATTATAGGTCTAACTCACTTTAGCTCTTATTAGTGTGTGTGTGTGTGTGTGTGTGTGTGTGTGTGTGTGTGTGTGTGTGTGTGTGTGTGTGTGTGTGTGTGTGTGTGTATATATATATATATATATATATATATATATATATATATATATATATATATATATATATATATATATATAGGGAAGGGTTCATGTGCGGATATAGCTTCCCGTGCGGTTAGATTTTAGTCGTTGATCAAATCTAGATCAACGACTCAAATCAATGAAAATTAAAAAAAAAAAAATGCGTGTCTGGAAGAAAGTCACGCACCTTTAAGTGTTACATCTTAAGCACAAACTCACGCACATTAAGTATAAAACTCACGCACATTAAGCACAAAACTCACGCACATTAAGCACGCAACCCACGCACTTTAAGTATTAACTCACAGACTTTAAGTTTCAACAATTACTGATATTAATCACTAACATCACACACATTAAGCACAAACCCTACGCAAATTAAGCATAAACTCCACTCATATTAAGAACAAATCTCACGCACCTTAAACACAAAAGCCCACACTTTAAGTTTTACCAACTACTCACATTAAGCACAACCCCACGCACATTAAGCACAAGACTCACGCACCTTATGCACAAGACTCACGCATCTTATATACAAAACTCACGCACATTAATCACAGAACCGCTCACATTAATTTTGACCTAGATTCAAAAATTAACAAATTACCACCGCGTTTTTTTTTTTTAAATTTTAGTAATCCTGGACGTTGATTTAAGCGAGAAAAATGACCCAGATTAAACCGCACAACCGCACCTGAGCACTCTAACCGCACCAGAAACTAATTTTATATATATATATATATATATATATATATATATATATATATATAATCGCACTCAGGTGCGAATGCTTCGCCCATGCGCGAAATAGGAATGGATTCTGTCCTTCCACGTGTCTAGATCTAATGGATGAGAAACACTGATTTTTTAAAAAAAAAGCGATGGCATTTTCGTTAATAATTGAACATCGAAGTTCAAGTAAAATGTATTACAAGTGCATGTAAAATGTATTATAGGCGCAAGTATTAAATTTATTCTGAGCATCAATACTAAGTGCACCTATAGTTATAAGTAGTTGCACCTTTAGTTCTGAATAGTTGCACACATAGTTATAAATAGTTGTACCTAGTGCATGAATGTTTGCGGGTGGTTTTCAGGGGTATTACTATCCGCTGAACTCAGATCAATGAATGTTAAAAAGGCAAAATTACATGCACTTATATGTGAAAGTAGGTGCACCTATAGTTATAAGTAGTTGCACCTATAGTTATAAATAGTTGCACCTATAGTTATAAGCACACCCAGGTGCATGAATGTTTGCGGGAAGTGAATGCTAACAAGGCAAAATTACATGCACTTATTGGTGAAAGTAGGTGCACTTGTAAGTGATTTTACTTGCACTTCGATGTTCAATTATTTACGAAAATGTCACCGCGTTATTTTTAAGTTATTAGATCTGGACACGTGTCGCGCGTTGATTCGTTCGCATATTCCTTCCTGGGCACTTATTCGCACCTGAGTGCATCCATATATATATATATATATATATATATATATATATATATATATATATATATATATATATATATATATATATATATATATCGTAGATAGTAGAAATAAATAAATAAGTTAATCCTATGATCCGTATTTGACAAGGAAAAATATAGTGCTTTTCATAGTCAAATTAGGAAAACACAACACTATTTGCATCGGTCATAATTTTTCTATAAATTAAAATCTCGCTTTCTCACATTTTCCATAGACGATACTCACTGTGATTACAGAATTTCATTTCTAGACGTAAACTGTGCTGGTACTTATTTTTCTCCAGAAAATTCAGAACTTTCCAATGGCGGGCTTTTGGGTTCTTCATCCGAGTGACCCGTTGAAGGGTGGAAGCGATGCCAGTAAGAAGGAGAGGGGCATAGCTGGTGAAGCGCCGAAAATGAAAGAACGTTACGCTAGATGGTCCTTCTTCACGTCGCCGCCACCAACCTCCCTCCCGCTCCCGGCCTTCTTAACCAAAAACGCTGCGGCTGCGGCTGTAGGGAATTGAAGAACGACAACGCAGCTAGGAGTTATCTGTGCATGGCGGATTCTGAAGCTCTGTCTTTACTGAATTATTTGACTCAATTCTTTAAGCTCTATCTTTAGAAATTCCTCACTCCCAGGCTCAAACATGATAATGGAGGGGTGTAACTCACAATCTGCCACCTAGTCCAAGTTCAATTCCTTTATTTTCTCAAGGAGAAGGAGTCGAATAGATTATATATTTACAATAGCATACTGTATAATTATGGATTTTAGTTTAGTTTAATTGAATCTTTGTCTTAGGATGTCATTTTAATTGTATTGGTATGTGTATATTTACTTGATCTAGTATAGTATGATTGGTCAGAATCAATCTACTCTATAAGTTTGATCATATAATCATACTAATTTATAGATAATATTACGAAAGGGAAACCGTAATTTCAATCCCTATAATCATACTAATTTATAAATAATGTTACAAAGGGGAAACCGTAATTTCAATCCCTCAATTATTGGCAGAGATATAGTGTTAGCATTCTGCAAGGGCCGCTGTTAAAAAGAAATGAAATTTTCCCGAATGATTAAATTGACTACAATTGAAATAATTGAAGAACCGAATTTCTTAAAATGAAAACTAGGATTACATTGCAGTGTAAGGTCAAATTCTTTCCAATATCAAGATTCATAAGCCCAATGTCCACAACAAACAGAACTGCAATATTCACAAAATATGTATATCATAAGCAACTTCTGTTACACTAAGTTGTTTTGAGTCTTTTGACCATAACATTTAACTAAGTTGTTTTGAGTCTTTTGACCATAACATTTAACTAAGTTGTTCATCAGAAGAATGTGCAAACAACCCAAAATTATGAAAGCATAATTTCTTTCCTGGGTTATATGGAAACCACATGAAAATCAAGGAATGGATGAAGTAACAAGACCGATCACCTAATGAAACTCTTAGAGTACATAGGAAAGGAATTAGGTTATGATTTTATTAAAAAATTTCTTTTCGAATTCAATTGCAGCTCTGAATTTACTATTCAGATATGACTGTTTGGAGTGGAAGTTTGCTTTCAACCTCCTTCACTTGTGCATTTCTTTCAGCAACAACTTTCGACATTCCAAACATCTGAGAGGAATTGTTATTCAGGGTCAATAACAATGCAAATCTGTTCTAAATTCAAATATTAATTATAGTAACAGTCACACATAATTAGAAGTTGAAAACAAACCTTGTGGATAGTTTTCTTGAAGCAGGTTTGATGTTCATCCATTGAAGCATGGATGAACTCATCAATATGATCTCTCACATTGATAGTAACAACAGCCGTTTCTTTACTTGAAGAAACGACGCCATTTTTGGACTATGTTCCACGATATAACGACTGTACTACTCTGTCCAACTCTCATTTTCTTCAATGGTTAACTGAAAATATATTCCTAATGTTAGTTGAAGGTCTTGGTGCACGATATAATTTTGAAAAATTTAGTCCTCCAATTATTTCAAGCGTAGCCAATTTAGTCCTCTCGTGAAATTTCCCTTTAACAACCATTTAAGACAAGGCTTCCTTAGGAATTTCACAACCCACTAATTATTTGCCTCAATTGGCTCACATATGCTCTCATGGGTATGGTATTAGTGTTCAACATTATGTCATGGACCCGGGTCCACCTTGCAAATCAAAATACACAATTTATATACAGAATGTTCACAATTTACATATTTAAAAAGAGATTATTTATAAAGGTTTGTAGAGGTATTTTTGTCTAATAAAGCAATACCTATTCTTGATAGATTAGGAATACCTAATACAAATTAAATTAAATGGGGCTTGGGAATAGCTATTGTATGCGGTAAACATGCGCTTCTATTCTACATTCATTTTAAGTCTGGGCCTTCATTTCATTTCTCATATTTTCCCATACACTCTATCTATCCACTTGCATGCAAAAGTCTGTTTTCTCATAATCAGATCTCCCTTTTCTCTCGGAAGTCTGTTTTCTCATAATCAGATCTCCCTTTTCTCTCGGAAATTCGAATTTCTCCAATGACGAGCGTTGAGGTTTCTCATCATCGGCATGACCGGAATTCGTTCCCACAAAGAAAACTCATGTGCCACTTGAACTACCTTGTTGGGTTCTAAAATTTTGTTTTTCAATCATTAATCAAGAATACATAATATTGTTAATCAAGGATCTTATTGATTGGCCCGTGATATAATTTGGCTATTTTATAAGTTCTATTTTTTGGAACTATAACCTTATTAAAATAGCACAATATTAAAAAAAATTCTTGACATTTTAACATTAAAATTTCTTTCCAATATCAAGACTCATAAGCCGAACACAACAAAAACAACTGCACCATTCACAAAATATGTATATCTCATGTATTTTTCTCTCTCAAAAAAAATTGGAACTGTAACTTCTCCATCTCAAGCAAATAGTTTGTATTCATTTGAAGAACAAGCAGCTGGTAAACTAATACAGAATTCACAAACCTGCAAATATAGAAAGCAATAAATTCTAGATTTACAAATCATCACTCACTATTTACCAAACAGGGCCTATATATTATACACACAACACATCCCTCATTGAAAACGTGTGCAGGTCCCGATTGATTCTCAAAAGTCTTTCCCTTTCAGCCTTCTTCTGTGCCCTTCCAACAAACAGCTTCTTTGATCCTAAGATTGATGACATTATGAAGAAATTACATTAGCATAGAATCAAATTCGAAACGTACGTAAGAAATACATACATATATAATAAGCATCAAAGCATGCACTGCACGTACCTATTAATTCACCATTAAGAGCCTCAATTGCCTTCCTAGCATCTTCATCCGAATCAAAATTGACAAAGCCAAAGCCTCTCGAATTTCCTTCTTCATCCCTCATAATGACAGCAGAATTGATCTTCCCATATCGGGAGAACTTCTCTCTTAGGAAGTCCTCTGTCATATTGTAACCGAAGTTTTTCACATATAGATTAGTGAACTTTTGCTCTTTATTAAATGCATCCATCATCCTCTCTTCTTTCTTCTTAAATGGGGACACATGTCTGAAAAACACCAAACAATTTTAACCAATTAGCTAGACTTTTTGAATGAAACAATACTCTGAACCCAAAATCTACAAGATGAAAGAGCATGCAGGTTCTAAATTCCAAATTCAGAAACATATAAAGAAAGTTACACGAATTGAAACCTAACGGGTTCTTAATGGATGAACCCGTTAACGATCCCCGGGACAAACACTAACCAATTATTTTCATGTAGTGTTAATGGAGGTTGTGTAATAATTGCCAGGTAGTAAAAAGGGAGTAGGCAACTTACAACTTCTTCCCTTCAAACACTGCTCCATGGAGGGAACTGATAGCAGAAATGGCTGAGTTCTGTGTTTCAAAGTGAACAAATCCAAAACATTTGCTCTTTCCATTTTTCTCCTCCACGACTTTGCAGGACAGTATTATGCCATATTTGCTAAACACGCTCTCTAATTGAGCACTGGTGACCGAAGGAGCAAGGTTCTTGACAAAAACATTCCCAATCCCAGATTTTCTTAGCTCTGGTTCCCTTTGCCACCACATAATCCTCATCGGCTTTCCTCTCAGGGTTCTATGGTTTAGGCATGCCAGAGCCTTTGAAGCTGATAAAAAAAAAAAAAAAAAAAAAAAAAAAAAAAAAAAAAAAACATAAATAATTATTTGCGGATTATAATCATTCAATCAAGGTATGAAAATATATGTTAACTTCGGGTAAGAACTTTTTTTTTTTTTTTTTTGGTGCCAAGGGCCTATAAAATGATAGTTTATCACATTTTTGAGAAATATTTTTATTAAAGAAAAGTTAATTTTCATTTTGTATTAAAAATTGTCCCAGAACCTTCCAGTTCATATATAATCTTCCTATATTTTCTCTGAGAATGAATATTATCAGCATGGCATTTATGCTAATATCTCCAAATCTCCTAATGATGAAAAACATTAGAAATAGAGCCACCTTTTCATTATTTCGAAATACACTCCTTCACTCTACCGTTACCAGCTAAGCTTTTGGGGACAAAACTAAAAAAACACAGCCCTTCATTCAGACCCACTCTAACGTACTTGTCACCCAAGAAAGCATAGCAAAGAGATTAACGCAAATAGGATGGTTTGGTTTATTACCATGAGAGATACAGGAGAAGTTGACGAAAGCATAACAAAGAGATTTCTCACACACGGCGTCTCTGCGAATCCCGAAGGAATCCAATGGGCCAATCACAGAAAATGCAGCCTCGAGGTCCGCTACGGCGGTTTCCGGGTGAAGATCCCCCACGTAGAGAGTATGCCGCAGCCAAAGTGGTGACACCTCCGCCATTTGTGTTACTCCAGCACAGGATTGGTTAGGACACAAGAGTTTTAATTAGTGAAGTAAGAGAGAGCTTTTGCTTCTTGGAGAAAGAGAGCCAAGTCATTAACGGTAGGAGTTTGAAAGAGATTATTTATAAAGGTTTGTAGAGGTATTTTTGTTTAATAAAAAATACTTATTCTTGATGGATTAAGAATACCTAATACAAATGGACTTGGGAATAGCTATTCCCATGGCAAAGAGGAATAGCAGATTCTATGCGGTAAAAATCTAGAATAAATCTATTTCATGGAATGACATTTCAATTTTAATATATTCCACAAACCAAACGTCACATAGTGAGGTATCTAAACGACATCGTTTCATTTTATCAAGGAGATTAAAAAAAATAAAATAAAATAAAAAAAGACTCCAAATTTGATATTATTTAATTTTAATTTTTTCATATAATATAAAATGTGGAAAAAAAAAAAAAAAAAACTACATTAGAATCTTAAATATTATTAAGCTATTTACTTCAATTTTCTATACTACTATGTCCAACACTTTTAAACAATTCAGTTTTCTATACTACTATAGGCTCTGTTTGACAGAGCTTATTTAGGGGCTTAAGCTTATTTTAAGTTACTAATAAGCTATAAGCTCTGTTTGGTAATGTTCTCAAAATGAGCTCCTAGCTTCCTATTTTTTTTTTCCATCTTTATCCTTATTATTTTAAAGAAATGACATTATTTACCCTTCCCAATTAAAACCCTTCTCTTCTACTTTATCCGCAACTTTCACCGCAAATATTATTATTATTATTATTATTATTATTATTATTATTATGATTATTATTATTATTATTATTATTATTATTATTATTATATTTGCAACAATATTGCTACTTCATTATGAGATACTAAATCATGATTATACTAATTGTTTTATTTCAAAATGTTAATTTTTTTAAAGACAAAATGTTAAATTTTAATATGTAAAAAAACTAATTTAAATTTTATGAAGATGTCCTTTTTAGTCTTTTTACATTTATCAACTTATCAAAAAGCTAATTTTGCCAAACACTTTCAATCATAACAGCTCTCAGTTTTCAGCTCCAAACTCATATAGCTTTTCAGCTTTCAGCTCCTTTTCAACTTGCAGCTCCTTACTTCTAGCTTTTCAGCTACGTTTGTCAAACAGAACCTATATGTTCAACACTCTTATTGAAGTACTCCGTACATAATATTGTTGCCTTTGTTAACCGAAGGCCTTGTACATGATATAATTTTGTGTATTTTTTAAGTTCCATTTTTTGGGACTACATCCTTATCAAAATAACACAATATTAAAAAATTTTGTTGCTTTTTAGACCTAGTATTTAAAATGATTTAGTTTGCATGAAATATATATAGTGTTCCTTAATTAGTTAAAGTATTCATATAATAATAATGAGAGAGAAAAATACGAAATTAATAAAAGATAAAGAAATGGTCTTAGTGTTTATATCTACTATACTAATAGTTCGAACCCCATCCCAATCAAAGTTGGCATAATTAGTACTCTATTTTACTCTTATTAAATTAAATAATAATTTAGTAGCTACAACAAAAAATAATACATATGCATTTCTTTAATTTAGAATTATATGTCTACAATGTCTTTATTCAAAAAAATTATACATTATCAATAAATTAAATAAGAGAAATATTTTCATTAGTTATATTGTATTTATTTTTCTCCAAATTAAAAATTATTTACATTCAAATTCATCAATTGATTATATTCGCTACATTGTCTACAATGTCTTCATTAAAAAAAAAATTATTCATTATCAATAAATTAATTAAGAGAAATAATTTTATTAGTTAAATTGTCTTTATATTTCTCCAATATAAAAATTCTTTAGATAAAGGCTAGTAGATTGTATTTTTACAGTGTTTTCCAAATTGAGCTAAATTTGGAATTCCACAACTGAACCGAGTAATTTCTAAACCAAAGTAAAGCAACCCCTACAAAATTCTCATGACGTACCTGCATGTTTCCAATGAGAAGAGAAAACAGAAGGAGCCCAAGAATGGCTAATGCTATTGAAAAGAGAACCTCTAGAGGATAAGTACTTGTTTGAAGCCCCTGCCCCAGAGTACTACAAAAAGTGAAATAGCAATCCAGTTATACTCCTGGGATTTCCTCAGTTCCTAAAGTTGAATAAATCTAACATGGATGATAAAAGTTAGGAATTTAACATTGATGGCCAGTTAATTCATCATGTGGGCAAATGATAAAAGGGAGAAGATTATTATGGCTGTTGCCTGGGAGAAGATGATGGTGCATGAAAAGACTCAAATACCTTTCTCAAACAGGACATTTAACGGGAGTGACGGAGGACCAAAATTGTCTTCGTCACAATAAGAGTGTCCACAAATTGTCTGATTGTTTTATGAAGGACCAAAATTGACTGTGTCACCATAAATCTAGGACCAAAAATGTCTTTTACTCTAATAAAAACATAAAGAAATTCGGAATAGTTAAATTAGAACTAAAGTAAGTAAAAACAAAGAAACCACTAACTAAAGATCAAGTCTTTGATATATGACTACAAAATACCATATGAACTTACTACTGTCAAAACTCAGAATCATTCGCACCCATAGCTTACTTGTTTGTGAGTCTCTCCATGCGCACTTGAATGTGGGCATTTTTTTGCATCTTAAAGGCATACATTCCAAATTCTCCATCAAATGATAGAGCAACTTTTTCAGCAATTTCTAATGCTTTTTTGTCCCATGGTGTCCCAGCAAGAGCAATTCCACCTCCTCCAGATCCATCGCCAAACTTAAAATCAAGAGTAACCAATTTAACACTATCTAGCACTAAACTTCCATAAACAATAATACTTACGAAGAGTGTAGCATCTTCCTAAAAACTCTCAACATAAAAGAAAGTATCATCATTATCATCCTCCAACAGCTCCTCTGTCTCATGGAAATCCAGAATACATTGATTATTGATATGGAAGAAAAAACTTAAGTAATAAAAATTCTTGGAAACACCCCAAAAAGAATTGCTATTTTGTCACCTTAATTCTCTTGAGAAAAAGCTTTAAAAAATAGTTATTTTCTAGAAAATGAGTTATTTTATAAAAATCATTTTTTTGACTATTTTTCAAATTTTCAAACAGACCCTTATTTTTTATTGTTTTTATCTGAACACAGGGCCGTAATGAATAGGGGCTGGAGATACTGAACACTATATGTTGTAAGTATTTCCAGAAAATGTATGAAGAGATGGATAGAAAAATCAAATTTGTGATGAAGCTAGTAAACCTATATCGACCCTACGTATACTTCAAAGGAGTGTGAGTAATTAAATATGTAATTAATCATATACTCCCTCCGTCCTGAATTGGTTGTCTCATTTGCTTTTTGCACGCTTTTTAAGGAATTAAAGTAAATGTTATGTATTTTCCAATTATGCCCTTCACTTTTTCACTTTTGGGAATAAAAGCAAAAGTCATAAGGGTAATTTGGGAAAAAGTAGAATGATGGTGATGTTCAATTTTGGAAAGAGGACAACATTTTGGGACAAACTAAAAAGGAAAGTAAGACATGCAAAATGGGACAGAGGGAGTACTTTTTAATTAATTTAGATCAAAAAATTAAGATGGTATGAATTTTGTGCACAGATATGACGATTTGAACACAGAAAAATTGAGAAGAGCTGCAAAAGAAGAGGGCATTGAGACTGATTTGTTCTATTTTTGATCCAAAAGCAATCAGCTGGGAAGATTATTTCATGAAGACTCACTTCCCTGGATTAGTAAAATACGTCTTCAAGTAATCCTTAGAATTAATAACAACTTTCGTTCGTCTCAGTTAAATAAAACACAAACAATTCTAAGGATATATGTCTATCCTCCCAGATCTGCGGCATTGAAAGACCAAATATATTTTATTTTATTTTATTTTGTTTTTGTTTTTGGTGAGTATTTGCCAAATTCATCTCTCTGTTGACAAAAACAATGAAACAGCAAACAATATCTACAACAGACAGTCACAGAAGCTCTTCACATGTTTTCTTCTGCCTAAGCAGACATAACTGGCAATGCAAGCAACTTCAGAAATTTCACTATATTTCACCAATTTTAGTATATTTTGTTTGGGTACTACTCTGCCTATAACATGTAAATTTCATCACAGAAATTGGTTCTCTCCAAGCTAATCACAGTACTAAGCATTCCAAACACATAAATTCAGGCAAAGCAGAAATCAATATAGAGATAGCAAGTGCTTCTTTGCAGCCATTTACTCAGCAGCAATGGAGTTTAAATCAACAAACCAAAATCAACATGGTAAGTCAAATATGCCATCCAAATTAATTATCATCTTTAATTTAATTTGCTACATGGTCTTTGTTGGTTCAGGAAAGAAAGCGCGCAGTAACTATCCATGTATCAGACAAACAAGGTGTTAAGAATTTTAGAATTGTAGTATTGAAGTAAGCATCCGTGCATAGGAGACTGTTTGTAATAATTGCACTTCAAAATTATATCTTCCAATTGAAAACCCCAAAATATTAAACACAAACGCACAAAAACGGAAACAGGAAGGAAAGTTTATCGGAAGAAGCAAGAGATTTGATACCTCCGTATTAACCGTTCGAGAGAGAGCTTCTTCACAAGGCTATTGAGAAACTTGGAGCCAATAACGATCTTCCTGAGAGTTTGATAAGTGTGGAGTCAGGACTCCGGAGACGGCGACCTCTCCCTCTCTTTCGAAGTTCAGATTGACGATCTCCTTCCTCCTCCTAACTCCGGGGGCGGCAGACGGAACTGAACAATACAGTATGATACTCTTTAAAAATCCAATTGTGTAATTCACACCACCCCCACCCTCCTTTCGAATTTCGCGATTTCGCGCGGTAATCCCCTCCTTTCGTCGCGTTTGCTGTGCTTCTTCCGCTTGTGTTGCTGCCCTAATTTGTTTGTTGTGCTTCTCTGCTTGTGTTGATTCTCCTTAGTCCTTACGACAACCGGGCGGCTGTGCTTCTCCTGACTGCCATTCAATTTCACGTAAACTACGAATTTGCCACCGCCTCTTCAATTGACAGAATCTGTTAAATTTAACATTCTAAGTTTGCTATTAGTGAGAAGAATGAGGGTATATTAGGATTTTAATTTGGTGTTGTACAATTAGATGAGCACAAAGTATGATCTTGTAAAGCATATTGTTGTACCGACATTTTTTTTGGTTCCTGTTAAGGGTCTAACAACATTGGCTCTTATTAAAGTTGTATATATATATATATATATATATATATATATATATATATATATATATATATATATATATATATATATATGAAACTATCACAACATAAAACATGACAAATTAAGTGATTGAAATCAAACCTGCTGCAGAAGAATGAACTTTCTTAACACGGTGATCTAGACGCTTCCCTAGACTGAAGAATGATACGCATCCAAAAGGATGGATAGTTTACTCGCGCAGAAAAAGGAAGGATGCAAATCAGGATATACATGGGAAGGCTTAACTCAAGGTTTTTGACAAATAAAGAGAGGCATAATCATCTCAACAATCATCTCAGCAATCATCTCCTTTCTATAATTATTTATTTCCTAGTACTATAAATCAGAATCTCTAGAAGAGAGTAGGGCATCAGATTCTTTACCTTAGTCTTTGAAGCTCTAAGTAGCTGGGCAAGAGCCTAATACTCTTGTGGGGAAGGTCTTATGACTTCCTGTACCTTTTCTTAAGTTTTCAGTCAATAAAACATACCTCTTTGTTCTTATCTCTAACAGAAGCTGGAATGAACTCATTTGATTTGAAAGTATCTTTGTTGATAGGAAACTCATCATTTAATGTTATTAGCCGTAAACATTGTAAAATGATTCTGATTTTCTGTTTTTGTATCCTGTTATTAGCCTCAGTAGGTTAGGACTAATTTCCTCAATCTTTTCTTTGTTACATTTACCTCCTAGAACCAAGGTAACCTTAGCCTATATTACAACTGGTGTATACGACTACCAAAAGTATCAGCAACTCAAAAGTCAAAATCATTAATTTTATTTCATCTTAGCTCACTTTTAGTTTCACTTCCTTCTTGACTTATTCACACTTTTCCCCTTACAATAACCAAAGAGAGTTTCATAAAGATGGGCAAGAGCTAAAGCTATATGGGAAAATAAAGAACAGAAGGAAATGAATATATAGAATTATAAGAGAAATGAGCATGTACTTAGGAATTGATATACCTGCATATAAGCTACAACTTCTGAAACAAGAATAGTGTGTTGAGGAACACCCATCGACTCTCCTTCTGCAAATCCATAAAATAAAAATAATAATAATAATAATAATAAAAAAAAAAAAAAAAAAAAAAAAACTGGTCAACTGAAGGTAAATTTTACCTAAGCCATCTGAAATTACAGAAGACTATGAGATGATATATTGATATCAGATACATAGTTCCTTCAGTCACTATAAGGACAGAATTGCCATTGGATTTCCTAAAGTCAAGAAATCTAGTAGTCATATTTGCTGAATCTAGGAATCTCCAGGAGCTTGTATAAAATTGGCCAGAAGGACATAGTCATTAAACATAATAGCAGGAGATGAATTGGTTATGCAAGAGAAATTTAACATTTTCTTTGTCCTGCTATTCGAGTCACCAGTGAACAAGATAATGCAGTATATATATCAACTCAAAATATTAAATTAGGTATTATCATTAGTAATTATAATTTTCAGGATGAGAATAGGAGAAAGAATGAAAAACATGGTTCCAATTAAATTGCAGAATGAATTCCTGAGATCTACTAAAAATGAAGAAACTTCCTGATACGACACATTCAGCAGGACATAGAAGATAGAACCAATTAAGTTTCACTTTCAAGAAAGCACAAACCAAATGTCATCATGTCAAACATATACTCAACAAACAATAAAGAAAAAAGAATCAGATAAGCAGCCAAGATATAGAACAACTCAGTGGCAGTAGTAAATACACCAAGTACAGAGCATAAAATATGCAAGCTTGATTTTCTCAGAAAGAGAAACACAACTTAATTAGTTCAACCCATTTTATTTGGAAAACCAAATAATTAACATCTCCTCTGTTAAAAATAAAGCTCAAGTCCTATAAGAGACTACTTGTCACAAGGTTGAGGTACAAATGCAGCAACTTATATGATATAATCTACATAGGAGAAATATCCAAATAATAGTTTCAAAATTAAGGCCAGATAGCAATCCTAGAACAGAGTTAAAGAAAAATCCAACACATGATTATAGAACTTCACCTTAAAAGCCTGCATATCGGATAGGAGTTGAGAACACCGGTCACCCAGCATCAACACCAGCCAGTTGTTTAAATGATACAATGGAAAGGAATGAGAGAATCAGTTATCAGGAGTTAAAAGAACTTTTTTTGTTTCTCATGTTATTGGTTTCTTATGCATAAGAAAACCATCTAATAGAATTATGGAGAAAAAAAATTGGACCGAACCTGAGAACGCAAAAGCCACCATATTACACTTCAGAACAGTAGCAAAAAGACTCCAATTCTTTAAAAATGCTACGACGTCTGTTTTAGCATCTCTTTTCTAAACAACATATGTCAATAGTCTAATTTTTAGTGATCTAAACCAATATGAAGAATGTCTAAGTGAGTGATGAGGGTACAAAAAAGGGGAAAGGGGATGAGAATAATTAGAAAATATAGTAATAAATGTAGTCATAACAGTTGATAGATGTGCAACCTTGCAAGCAAACAAGAGTGAGGATGAGGTAGGTAGTAGGAATGGGATTTTACATTTGGATAACAAAACAAAAGTGTTATTCAAAAGAAAAACTATATATAACTACAGGGGTTGCATAAGTATCTACTTTCCTACAGAAATGAACCTACAATCAAATTCTCCCTAAAGAGAAGCAAAAGAAAAGCACAATATCTTGTACAGATGAATCATTTACAGACTGTATAACTACAAACAGAAATTCTGGCTTCATTGAGATTTAATAACCATAACCATCTCTAAAATTGCTGTTGTAAGGTCAAATTCTTTCACAATGTCAACAACAAAAACAAGTGCAATATTCACAAAATACGTATATCTCATGATACACAGTGCTTTTTCTATTTATATCATAAATAACTTCAATTACATCGAGATGTTTTGACCATAACATTAAACTAAGCTGTTCAGAAGAACAGGCAAATAACCCAAAATTAAGGAAACCACATGAAAATCAAGGAATTGATGAAGTAACCAGGCCTATTTATCACTGTAACTCTTAAGAGTACATAAGAAAAGATTTTCTTTCCCAATTGCAGCTCTGAATTTACTGTTCAGATAGGACTGTTCGGAGTGGAAGTTTTCTTTCAACCTCCTTCACTTCTGCATTTCTTTCAGCAACAACTTTCGACATTCCAAACATCTGAGAAGAATTGGTTATCCAGGATCAATAACAATGCAACATTCTAAATTCAAATATTCATTATAGTAACAGTCTCAAATAATTAGAAACTCAAAACAAACCTTCTGGATAGTTTTCTTGAAGCAGGTTTTATGTTCATTCATTGAAGCATGGATGAACTCGTCAATATGATCTCTCACATCCTCTATAAAAGTGGCACTTTCAGACTTCTTCTTCCGGCATGAAGCCGTCACTGGGGTTTGTGTCTCAGGCTTACCTCCTTCAGTAGCCATTCACTCTGATTACAAAATAAATCAATACACAATCTAAGATTAAGCATGACAATGGTTACCCAGTTCATATACCATGACTTCTCACAGTGGAATATTGGAGGATTACTAAAGCAGATATTAACTCAATTTTTTGCCTAAATTATGTTCTCTCATAAATGGTATTGTGCAATAAGTTGTTTCCTTAGAGCAAAATCAATTGTTGACAAAGCTAAAATTTTCCCATATTTCAGTACTTTAACACGAATGCTTTCCTTAATATACTACTTCAAGGGTTTAGGAAAAAACTTGAAAAAAATCGACTCCATACATGATAAATCAGGGCAAAATAGCATAAAGTAATAAAATCAGAGAACTGATTCATATGAATTCAAAGGAAAAAAGGGGATGGGCTTGAATTTACCTGAGCGAAATCACAAAGGACACCAATGAAATCAAAGCCTGCGAATCGAATAACTGACACAAGAATTAATCTTAAAATAAAAGAATAAGCAGGAGATATGTAGAAATACAGGATGAGGAAGAATTAAGTAAAAGGAATGAAGAATTGCAGAATTAATATACTACTGTCTGACTTGGACAAGGGGTCAAACCAAGTGGGCCAGCCCGCCCCATTAGGCCGTGAAATCGTGTATATCTTGTAAGGTGGACATGATTTTATGTTCATAATTACTAAACTATATGTTCATAATTATAAAGTTATATATTCATAATTTGTGAACTTCATATTCATAATTATTGAATTCTATATTGACAATTATAGAACCCTATGTTCATAATTAATAAATTATATGTTCATAAAAACTATATATTCATAATTTTTGAATTTCATATTCACAATTATTGAATATCCATATTCATAATTACAGAACTATACGTTTATAATTATAAAATTATATGTTCATAATTTTTTAACTATATATTCATAATTATGAACAGTTTTAGAACTACGTCCATCTTGCAAGGTGGACACGGTTTCACAGCATAATTTGTTTTAATTCCAGCAATGGTCTTCTGACTATTGCGATTTTTCCAAAATCGGTCCTTGTCTTTTAATTTGGACGAAATAGACCCTTAACTATTAGATTTGTTCCAGCATTGGTCCTTCTGTTAAGCATCCGTTTGTAGGGGTGAGCAAAAAAACCGGACCGACCGAAAAACCAATGATCGTTAACTGAACCGTCCGAATATTTCAGTTTTCGGTTCGATTTCGATTATTAAGGTAAAAATATTTCAATTTTTCGGTTGGTTATCGGTTTTTCAAGAGAAAACCGAAGACTGACCAAAAAATCGAAGATTAATTTAAAATAAAATGTAAGGTAGAGAGGAAGGCTGCACTATTGACGAGCTAAGAGCTGTATTTGGGTTACACGATCTACCTCCGTAACCCTCCAATAGGCTCTATGAAGCATCGACGTGAACCCATACCCTCCTCCACACTGCCATGGGTAGTGTAACATTATGCTCCCAACTGGTAGCGTCATTTCTGGCCTCCAAAATGGCGTATAACATAGCAGTAACTTGCTGTTGATTCCAACCACCAAAAATTCCCGCCAACCAATCAGCAAATCCCATGTTCAAGACATGCAAATTAGAAAGATTCCAAACTTCTCTTCCACATTAATGTTCATTTGCTGTTCAACATAATTAAGCTATGATTAATTGGGCCTTAGCTTGTAATTTAGGCCTAAATAGTTGGTAATGAAATAAATAAAATAAATTTAGCAATTTTACTAAAAATTTTTGGTTATATTTAATCGACTGAAAACCGTCGATTTCGGTTATATCAATTATAAAGGTTAGTCGGTCGGTTATGAAGATTTGGTTAAAATTTTGGTTATTAACTGAAAATTGATCGAAACCTACATATGCTCACCCCTATCCGTTTGTTAGGTTTAAAGTAGAGAGGTACAAAGGTCATTTCCTCTTAATGTCTTCTTCCACCAAGTCACCAACTCTATTGCTTTGTCAAGCCCACCACCAAAACCACAAGCATCCTTTGCACTTCAAACCCTTGTCGCCACCTCTTCGAAGTCTTCAGAGGCAGAGGTCTCTGCAATGGTGAGGAAGGAGAAAGAAGAGGTCGTCTAGCCTTACTAAGAAGGAGAAAGAAGAGGAAGCGGTTGTGGTTGAGAGCTTCCTGGAGGATGCGTTTGGGAAGGAGCTGCTAGGATTCACCAGCAGATTTCCCGGCGACGAGGAGGTGCTGCAGAATTTCATCGAGGAAAACCCTCCGCCTCCGCTGGTGGCGAAGTCAGGAACGACGAGTAGTTTCGGGTTTGATCTGAGGCAGGTGAAAAAGCCAAAGCTGCCTGAACTGCCTGCCATTGCCATCGTGAAGAATATGTAGAGACCTTATCACATGTACTGCGGCATCGTGCAAAAATCCCAGGTTTGCGACGGGAGAAATGACCTCCCATTAGGCTTAGGTGGGAATTGGGATAGGCTGTGCAGAGAGATCCTAGCTAGGTTTAACACTTAATTAAATATTTTTGTTGCAGAGGCTCCGTGATAATGATCCTGGAGTTATGGCAGCCGCACTTTGTCCACTTTTTGATTTTATTAAATCTAACATTAACTCCTATAAAGATTTAGTGGTCAGTTTAGTAAACATTCTACCTTAAGCAAGTAGTAGAGCTAGTTCAGATTGCCAAAGAGCTACGATTATCATAATATTATGACTGCTCCATTCATTCAGGTATGTCTTATTATTGAAGTCTGTAGTTAGTGATAGATAGTGGCCATTATTTATTTTATATTTTGTCCATGAGTTGCAAACTATTAGAACTCATGTATTGACAGTACCTCATAGCACAGTTTTACAATCTCCTATTTTTTGGATTTTCTACTTTCACACCAGTGTTGCAAATATCGCGCCTAGGCGCCGGCCGACCTAGGTGAGGATTGGCCTCTTCCGTGGCCGGGCAGCTAGCCGGCCGAACCGGCCTTTTTTTTTTTTTTTTTTTTTTAGGGTTTAGGTTAAAAACTTTGTGAAGGCATAACTTTTGACTCGTTTGTCCGCTTTGGACAATTTTTTTTTTCAAATCACAAAATATCTCAAACAAATGCTTCTTTTACTCTTATATTTAATTTTTTTTTATGTATTTAGATAGTTTCAACAATATTTTAAACTATTTTATAGCCACTTAAATAAATAGTTTGTAAGAAAAAATGATAAGAACCTTAATTATGTTTTATTAGTGAATTTTGATTTTGATAAAATATAATTTTAAATTTTAAATTTTTTTTACATTTAAAACAAATTTAAAAAAAAAAAAAAAAAAATCGGCGCCTAACGTGTTTTGCAACCTTGTTTCACACTTTATAGTTATGTTGGACTTAGGGTGCGTTTGGAAACCCAGAAAATATTTTCTGAAAAAATGAGTCATTTTCTAGAAAATATTTCCCTTTCCGGTGTTTGGCTACACAACGGAAAACTGTATTTGTTTGTTTGGTTTATTTTCTAGAAAATGAGCACGAAAATAAAAAAAATTGAATACTTCAAAATTTTAATTATTTGATACTTTTGATAAAATCATTCTATGAATATCACTCTTTTGATATATATATATATATATATATATATATATATATATATATATATATATATATATATATATATATATATATATATATATATATATATATATATATATATATATATATATATATGTATAGAGTAATATATA